AAATAGCCAATGGCTGGGAGTGTGTAGCCTTGTAGTTGCTGTGCAACTCAAGGGGTCCTCACGAACTATAGTCCTGATGAATACCATATAAGGGAGTACTTAGGGGGTAGTAAGTAGTACACTGTATCAGATAACTTAGAAAATACTAAGATCTGGGGACAGCAAACCGGGTGGCAGCAGTATGGACCTGGCTTGAGATATGAAGCTAGTATACCTGAGGATACAAGTGGGAGGTTTGAGGCATTCATGTAATATAAGTTGCATGAAGGAATGCACTAGTATTCTTAAGATTATATGTAGCTATATAAGGCAAAAACTCAACATCTAATAAAGATACAAGGCAAGACCTCACCTTAACATCGAAAAAAAAAAATTTTTTTTAAAAAAATTTTATATATAAAAAAGAAGTTTTTTTAAAGATTTCTCAAGAACTACCAAGCTGATTTTAATATTTTTACTATCATTAGATACTTCTTAATGAGCTTTACAACTTTTGTTACAAGCCCAACAGTAATTTACTTAGTAAAAAAAAGTTTTAGATAGAAGTGCTCTACATTTAGGCTTACAGTAAAATTTATATATAAAAAAAATATTTGTTCAGATGACTTGTGATTTGCCTATTAAAATTATTTGTTAAAATCAGTTTGTTAGCTATTATAGGTTAAATAATTAAGCTAGATAGAAATCTTTAAGGAATAGTTTTAAAAAATTTAATAATTAAATAGTTTGATTAGTAAATAATATAAAGTATATTGAAATAAAAAGGTGTTTGAACTAGTTAAAAAGTTGATTTAAATCTATGTTGATATTAGATAAAATTTTAAAAAATTATATATATAATGCTCGACAAAAGTTTTTCTACACTTATATCTTCTTATAAAGAGGTGCTACAATTTTGAAACTTTCAAAAAAGTTAGTACTTATATAGATTAGATTGTGTATTTATTTTAAAGATTTTATAATTACTAGAAAAAAATTTAAATGAAAGCTAAATTTAGAACAGTTTCATTCAAAAAAAATTAAAAAATTAATTAAATTCAAAGAAAATTTAATATATTGTTAAAATTTAAAGCTAAAAATTCTAAAAATTGATATATTAAAATTTAATAATTTCTATAATAGTAGCAAAAAATTTGACTCAATTTGATGAGATAGTTATTAACAAATTAATTTTTAAAATTTTTGAGTTTTATTTTTATCATGTTTGATTTGTCAATACCTAATTCTTTTTGTATTGCAAAAAGTTTTTCACAAATATCTTGTGTTTTAATAGTTCAAATTTGATGATTTTGATATCATTCAAACTGTCTTGTTGAGACAATTCGAATAATACCAAAATAATTAAATTCAGACTACTAGATATCAAGATAGTTTCAATTGAAAAAATTTTTACTTTGTAATTTTTAAAAATAAAAATTAAATTTAAAAATTAATTTTTCAATGATTATCTTATCAAATCAAGCTAAAATTTTTATTACTACTATAAAATCATTGAATTTTAATATATTAATTTTTGAAATTTTTAGCTTAGAACCTTAACAATATATTAATTTTTTTTTAAATTCAATTAATTTTTTTATTTTTTTAAAAAAATCCTAACTTTAGCTCTCATATAAATTTTTTTCTAGTAATTAAAAAATCTTCAAAAAATGCATATGATTTAAACAATGTATATACTGATTTTTGTAAAAGTTTCAAGATCATAACACTTTTTTATAAGGAGATATAGGTGCAAAAAAACTTTTGTTAGGTATTGTAAGAAATTTTATACTTATATATAGAGAGTATATTATTCAGTATAATGTTTATATATATTAAAGTTTAAAAATATATGTAGTTATATATAAAATTAAATACTAAAAAATTTTACTTAAGATATCTATATATAGTTTTCTTAGTAAAATTTTATGATATTAATTTTTGATTTTTTTTTATACCAGATATTATACCCACTAGATACAAATAGAAATTCTCTAAAATATAAATTTCTAAAAATTTAATTATATTTTGTATTTAACAAAATAAATATTTTGTAAAATTTTAATATAAACTATACTTTTTAATGCTAATCTTGGCTTTAATCTAATTTTAATTAAAGATTTTATTTTTTGTAAAAAAAGAATATTTCTATTTATATATTTTACTAATTTTTATATTTATCTGATTTTTGTACTCTAAATAAATATTTTAAAATACAACTATATTTTGAATAAGGTCAATATTTTACTAAAGTTTTTTATATTTTTAACAGTCTTAAATAGGATCAATACTAAGAAAACGCATTTATAATAGTACTACAAAAATATCTTTTCTCTTTTGCATCAGAAAATTTTTAAATAGGGTGAATATCGATTACTAGCTATAGGGCGATTGCCATCAATCAAAAAATTAATAATAATCTATATTTGTTTCTAATCATTATACAATCAATTAAAAAATAATCGATTTTAATTTGTTTTGAAGCTAATTGATTTTTAATCAAGCGATACTAATCAATATTAATCAATTTTAATCAGCATCAATCGATTCTAATCTGTATTAATGGCAATCGGCAGGGGTGCTAATTATCAATTAGCATTTCTATCTGTCAATCAATTGCCAACCAATTTAAAAATTTCCTGATGTGTTTAGTTTTTTGTATAAAAAGAATCAAATGTAAAATAATTAGTAAAATAATCACAGACCACTAGAACCCAGAAGCAGAGATATACATTTTTGATGTCCAAAGACTTTTTGACATGTCCAACATCCAAACGTTCAAGTGCCCAAAGCTTATCTAAGCTTTAATAATTAAAATATTTATTTTATAAAAACATGATTATATATTTTATTTAATTATATACATTTTTTACTTAGAAAGTTGGAATAGGTTATCTTAATAAATTTTGAGCAATTTAATATTTAAAAATGTCCAGGATATAAAACTTTGTCCAAAAGCTGTTCCGTGACATCCCTGTCCAGAGGTATTTAATATTAGCCTTGTTATCATGCGTCATCATATGTCAGCTCGCTAACACAAGATGAATACCGCCCTGTGATTATGCATGATCTACGACAATCCATTAAAAATTTATTACTTAAAAACTATATCATGCTACTACTATTAGTTCTTATCAAAATTTTGTTTTCAAAGATCTAACTACCCACCAGAACTTCCACATATAAATTTTAAATATTTAAATATATATTTATTTTTTTTACTAAAAATAATTTCTAATATTATACTGTCTACTTGAATGTATTTATTCATCTCCAAAAATACTTATGCAATACTTATGCTATTTTAATTCAGTAAAATGTAGCTTATGGAAATATAAGATAAACGCTGCATATAGCATCTTCAAAATCTTTGATCAATACATTTAGCGCACCTTTTGAAATTTCTATGCCAACAAGAACGATTCCGTCTAAAGATCAATATACAGTACCCAGGACCTTTGGTAATACAAGCAATCCTGCATGGTAGTTACCATCAGTACATATCATTACGGCAGAGCCGTTTTGTAGCGTAATATCTAATACAAATTTAATTTAGGTTTATTATCTATGCATACCATCCGATACATATAAGTGAAATTTAAATAATTATACGTACGTACGTATTTTACGTAACGCTAAAAATAGGCCAATTATAAGTTTTTTGTAAATTATTTACTATATAGACGCATAACCAAGATGGACAGTTTTGTAAGTTATTTACTATAGATGCTTTAGGTGGTTTTTTAAACCAAACTTTTTAATTAAAAATTAAAAACCAGACGGGTAGGTCACTTTTAAAACTCTATGTATAAAAAACAATAACTAACTTTGTATGGCCTAAAAAGTAAAAAATATTCAAACCAGCTTCAAATAGTTCTCCAGTTATCTGAGACTGATTCGAGCTGGGCGAACCAGGCATGGGACCAAATATTTGGGATTTTGCAAACCAAAAACACAACTAAATGATAAATTCAAAATGCGTAAGAGCACAATTATAAATTTTTTTGAAAAAATAACGTAAAAAATATAGACTTACAAAAGATAAGGAAAATCAAACGGAACCACTCCTTAAAAGAAAGCGTCATCGAGCAATACTTGAATGCTTGCTTTAAACAACCAAGCACAAAACACAAAATATCTTTGCACAGCTTTATCCAGTTGATTCCTTGTTTTTTCTCAAATTGCATCCCAATCTCCCGTTCCAGTTCCTTGTAGAAAATCTCATGAATACTTTTTCCTGAATTTTGCCGATTTCGTATTTTAATTTGAACCACGCTGGGAATTTCTAGATCATCTACTGGCACGATCCCAGATGAGATTAATTCAGCCAGAGTATCGTAAAGGCGGTAATGAATCAAAAGGGAAATTGTTGCTTCTAGTGTATCTCTATTAATATCCTTAAAGTCAAGCTCAGGAAGGGATATTTTATGACGTCTATTATATCTGAGGATTCTATCAAGCTTTTTGCATCCACGACAGTTTTCGTCTACATCAGAAAGCTCACCTTCGAAAATATCATCGAATTCGTTATTGACCATTATAATATATGGGCCTTTTAAATTTAAATAGTTATGCGTAATTGGAATCCAATATTTATACGCATTAGTATTGTTAATGTGCCTCAAAGCGCTATTTTAGTTAACTAAGCAGATCTAATTTCAGGGGCTTAAGTCAGGCGCAACTAGCATGACCTAGTTCCGTAAATATGCAATCTGCAGCTTCTAATTGTCAGGTCATGATTGACCAGTAAAATTCTGTACTGTATACTGTTACAAAAACTTCAAGGTTATTATAGATAAGTCAAAGCTGAAGTTTGTAAGGTTGCGGTTAATGATGGGTGACGACGATGACGAATGACGAAATTCACGACGAATAACAAAACTATGACGAATGATAATTTTATATGTAATATGCATTTGGACGTAATAGATGTAAGAAAAATAAAAATACGAATTTTTCTTAGAATTCATTGAAAAGTTAATGTCTGCAAAACGACAGCTTACATGTAACGGCATGTCCGGAATGTGTGGAATGTGTGACAGGTTGATCGACAAATTATGAAAAAGTTTTTTTCTATTTCGAAATTTTGCTATGAAACTGCTCTTGGTGCTCTAAGAAAAAAAAATTCTACTCGTAATTTTGGTTCAAGTCTTCCCTAAATCTAGCCCTAACAATTAAAAATCGATTTAATATTGTTGATCAATTAGCATATAACCTGTCACATTCCGGTCTTGTTAGGTAAAACCATACCCGACATTACCCGATGATCTGCATTCATTTCCCGGATGTATCCGATATGTACGTACGTACGTACGTACGAGAAAGAAAACCATCGGTAATAAAAATATTTGTAACAACATGTTACAGTAATTAGCCAATAGTAGTTAGAGTTAGGGTTTGGTTACATGAATTTTTATTGGCTGTACTAAGTAAGTTGTTACAAATAAGCATGTAACAATGTTGTTACAATTAGATACGTCCATAAAAAAATATTAGCTTCATATTCAATCTAATGTGAAGTAAAATTAATTCTTGTATGAATCCATTAACTTTTTATGGTGTTAATTTTTTATAACGAACTGACTATTTGATAAAAAATTGTTGTGTTTATATGTACCGACGAAACTTATAAAATAATATAATTTTTCAGTAATAAAATACAATATAATTTCTTTCTGATTAATAATCATCTCTGCTTTCTCAAGTACATAAAAAACTATTAGTTATTAACAACAGTGTGTAATCTGTTTTAGTTTCTATATCAACAATCTTGAATTTGGTAGCTGGGTCATATTTTATAAATATCAATTGTTGAAGTTTTTTCTTGGTAAAAATTCTTAAAACATACTACTTATAATTTGTGATCTTGTGTTTTTGCAACCTTTCAATTTCTTACAATTCTGTGACTTTGAGGTTTTGCATCTTTTTGCAACAAAAAGGGTGTTTGCAAAGGTCATAGCTAAATATAACAAGACACAAGGCTACAACTTTGCAGCAAGCATCTCTAATCTCAGACCCAGACTGAGCCAGACCTGAACTAGACCTAGAAGCACTACCTCTGATCTATTGATAAAGGCATTTAAGAATGCCCTTAGGTAGTTATAACTGAAGTTGCAACCTTAGTCAGGTATCAATTTTAATTATGACATATAATTATAAAAGTTTAAAAACTAATATATATTCTGTATTTATGCTAACACATATTTAACTAATAATAAAAAAATTTTGCAGCCTATATTTTACTTAACCAGGTGTGATGATCTTTGCTTTAATACAACAATCTTATTTTATCAAACAAAACAAATATCAAAAAGATAATAGAATAAAAAAAAATAAAGATATATAAGAAGTATAACTGATAAAAGATACAAAATCACTATTTAATTTGAATTATTTAAGCAGAATAAATAAATAAAAGTTAATTACCTATTCAAAACAAAGTGGCAATTTTCAAGACAGATCAATTAAATATCAAAAGAAATGGACATTGTAAATTATTATTAATTTGATATAAATAAAAGCATTATTTTTAGAAAAATAAATGAAATAGTAGCATATATGTAAGTAGTTAAGTAGTAATGAGCAACAATGAGCAGCAAGTAATGCGTGGCAACAAGCAACAATAAGCAGCAAGCAACACAGCAATGAGCAATGTAACAATGAGCAGAACATATGTTCATACAAAACATCATAGTTCCTGTGTAATATTAAAGGCCTAATAAAGATAAAAAAGAGATACTAATTGAAATCAACACCATGAATAATGAAAAACACAATACAAAACTACCGTTGTCCTGTATTGTGTTAATTAATAATTAGATCATTATAACTGATCAAAAAAGATTTTTACAATAAAATTTATATCCTATTAAATTATATTTACATGATTAATTATTCTTGTATTTACGTGTAAGAATTTGAAAATGCAATCTTATAATAATGAAAGAAATTAAATAAATATAAATCATCCATCGAAAAATAGTTGATAATATAAAAAACTTGAAGCAAAGCAAAATATTTTCAAAAAATATAGAATGGACCAAATTAAAACAACTTTCTAGTAGTGATAGGCCAAGATTAACTTTAATTAGTTAAAATTTCTGTTACCATTTTCTTGTTGAATATTAAGCTTTTGAGGCTATTACCTACAGTTGATGCTAGTGTTCCTATGAACTGAACTGAACTGAACTTTTGGCCAAGTTCAAGTTCAGTTCAAAATTGAACTGAACTTGA